ACGTAAGCCGATTAACTGTGACATTGTACAGCGTGTTTGCAACTAATTACATTGTGTATGTGAGTAAACAAATCCAAAGCATCATGAAATCAGCGGAAACAATAGCGTCATCACTCTTCTCTTTTCTACCTCCATGGTGTGACATAACAGTAACCATTATTCACCCTTGAGTGCCATTATTGTTCCCGCCAAAATGTTGGACAACGTACATTTTGCCAAATGTTAAGTATTTCGTCATAATCTTTTGGATCATTCTGGACCAGATGGATATAATTTACTATTTGCTACAGACCTTGATTCAAATTTTGGAAAAAATCTGTTAAAATTGTATCATTTTGTTTTGTACATGGTGATGAAATTGACTTGGCACTCAAAAGATTCAGTAACATTTCTCCCTTTCATTTTGGCCATCCATGGAGGCTTTCAGCAGGTGAATTGCGATAACCAGCTAAACTGAAATGATGACAAAATACATTGTGTTTTGACTCTTACAGTTTTCTGTCTTCTGGTTCACTGTCTTGGCTCGCAAGGTTTTTGTGTATATGTGCCCCAACCCTTCATCATCACATACATTTGTACACTGCTACTCAAGAATTTGCAAATTTGCACAGTGACAAATGATTATGTAAATTAGCCATAACCACAAATATTACCAAAGGTGCACACCCCAAAACCATTATGTTAATTAATGGCATGAGTATATATAAGCAGTGTCCACCATGACACTCCCTGAAGTACATGCATTTATGGATGTAACCTTGCCAACTATTTTATTGTTTGTAAATTGTTACTAGTATGCATACTTGTTGAGGTAGATTAGACCTTGCTATAAATGACATACCAGCATGTTATTTTATGTGTTACAACTATAATTCTATCTTTTGGTTGTTTTAGACCCAAAATGTGGGTAACTGCGTAATATTGAAGTAAGGTATGATAACAGTGAGACATACTGTAGCAAACCTTGCAGGCAGCAAGCTCAAAAAACACAACTTTCTAGTGTACTAAACATTGCTGCGTTTTATATACCATAGTAGGCTTGGTTTCACATTGGCACCTTTCTCTATGGCAACATGACATGTCATTTTGTAAATTCTTGAAACTTTTTTAAAAACTTATTTGTAATGTTACCATTTATTTATTTTAAGAGTGATACATATTTAAATCAAAAGAATCAAATTATTTGCCATTTTTGCTTTTCTTATTCTGAATTACCAGTTATAACAAAGAAACAAGTGTTTTATGGTAATGAATGTTTATGCATTATCTCACAGAAATAAATTGAAAATCATTCATGTTTTTCCAAGAATTTTTACTTGTAATTAGATAGAATCACATTTTTATAACGGAAAAAAAGTTTCACTTTGGTGATTATTTCAAATTTGGGACAGTTAAAGTTGTATACATGATTGTATACACTAATAAATATAAGTGAAGCAAGGAAAACACATTAATTTTAATTTTGTAATTTTTGGTAATTAATTAAAATTCGCTAAATTAAAACTCACATAAACATACAATTGAACTTATTTTCTCCCTGTCGGGTTCATGAACTTAAACCCAGCGAAATTGCTCAAAACATCAAAATAGCGAAATTTAATGCCAGTGAAAATTAATGGTTTTACATTAGTTTTAATAGCTATACGGTAACATAATGGCGATTGTACATCTTATGTTATTTTTTTCCACAGTGTTTTCACGCTTTCATGGCTTCACAATTTCATGGTTCAATCAAGAAATCTAATTACCCTACCGGTAACACACATCATATAGAAAAATTAAGTACAATCGTATACGTTCATTAAATAAAATGCATTATTCTACGTCATCTGGCAGCGAAAACCTAGTGCGAACATGTTTAAAAGTGTTATGCATGCTTGCAAGTGTGTTTTATGGTCATTATTCTTATTTTGGAGTGTGTTGTGTTACCGGTATGTGGCATATCAAACTGCTTCAGAAATTGTTTACATCAGATGTGGTCCTTATAGCATGTGATGTCACATAGACATACATGTATACATCATAAAAAGATTTTTATTGGCATTTTTTGCTGTTTTATCTCACTAAATTATGTCTACGAGCAGGAAAATATGCAATAACAAAGTTATGAC